TTTATGTCTCCACAAAAACATATTTTTTTGTTGTTTCGTTTTCTTCCAAACACTTTTCAATCGACCACCATTCCTTCATTTCTTGGCAGATTGGCTTGAAACTTGGTAGGGTTATACGTTAGTCTAATACGCCCATACTTCATTTTCATTTTCTTTATTTCGGCTTTTCTAAGGATTTTATGGGGTCAAAGGTCAAACAATCCAAAAAATGAGATGCAAGACTGAGCGAAAATAAACTGTGGATAATCAATTACAGGAGGCACATGATAAAGTCTGACGAGTCATGTTTCGTTCCTTGTCTATTTATGGTAAAATAAAACATTCAGTAAAATAATAAATAGGGCGTTTGACTCGTTTTTATTCTACTGTTCGAGGTGATGTGATGGCGTGTGAGGTGCATTTTCTTACAGAATTTTGGAGTACTCTGTAATGCTATTACCGATCATATTCACTCCACATATTTCTATTTTACCGTCAGTACAGAGAAAAGATGAAATATGACTCATCAGACTTGAGTATATCTGAGAAAGGTCGTTAGATATAATAGTGGTGTTCTTCATATGGCATGATTGGAAGTATTTAAATTCTGACTACTGAATGAGTCATTCTATTGAAGCCACAGATTCACGTTTGTTTCACAATTTCTTTCGTTTACCTTTCTTGGTTAGTAAAGTCATCAAATTTCAATCTGATTGATCACCTATGGAATGAGCTTGATTGCCACATTTACCACTCAAATCCTCTGGTTAAATCTGTGAACCAATGGCAGACCTCAAAGAATAAGCCACTATCGAACAAGATGTTTTCCAGCATTCTGTGCCATGATTAATCTAAGCTATTTTCACGGTGAAAGGTGATATCAACTGATGTTAAGTATAGGTCCTAATAAAATGGCTAGCGAATGTAGAGTGATAAATGAACCACAGCCTTTGAAATGCAAGGCATATTAAACATGCCAGTAATAATAAGCAGCAAAAGGAGCTTAAACAACGTAATCATAATGTTTCATACAAGGTGGACAGCTCTCAATATGCAATTAAAATATTTTTCATTTGAATGCAAAATATCACACATTATTAAAATGAAATTAACTTCTTTAACAACGGTCTCTCTTACACAATACTACTTTAATATATAATAGTAAATATGTTTACTTCTAATTAGTCGGCAAATATATGGTATGATTAAACGAGCCAGGCATAGAGTGGTGGTTAGGGTGGTCGACTCGCGATCTGAGGGTAGTAGGTTCGAATCCTGGTCACCTAACATGTGGGAGCGTTATAGTCCCTTTAATCTAACAATGCTGAATTAGGAACGGCTCGCACAGATATCCCTCGTGTAGCTTTGCGTGAAATTTAAAACAAACAAACCGTTATGAATAAATACCCCAAATTTCTGCCTGTTTTGTTCTATAAAACTATTAGATTATTTTTTTTAAATAAAAAACTATAGGTTTTGTTCTTTATTAATTCGCCTTTCACATTTGAATACCATATTTTCTGTTGTAATAAGATGTAATCATAACTACATTCTTCTCTTCTTTTTTTCAACTAGTTTCTAGACATGCTTGGTTGAAGACTAGACAACACGTGTACAGTTCTTTCTTGACACTCAATGTCTCATACATGTCACAAACGTCTTTGTTTAACGAAGTTCTTTCCAGAATATCTATATTTGATATTAAGATTGTTTTATATACAGGCTTATTATAAAAAGATATAGCACAAAGCTATATCAATGGGCTATTTATGCTTTTCCCATCGTTGGTATAGAGTAACTCGACTCTTTTTAATGTTATAAGCTCTTAGACTTGCCGCTGAGCCACTGGGGGCCAAAATATTTGGTGGATGAACTAACAAGACGATGGAAAAGACGAATCTAATGTCATAAATAATTGTAACAAGAGTGAGCTTATAGTGAAATTCATACAGCAAACATGTTACCAATGAACACTATTCATATCCTGTATGACTTTCAATCGTGAGAGAACGTGTTACATACCCGAATGATACTGTCACACTTTCAGAAGATGCACATTACTTGGTATCTTATGATATCTTTCAGGTCTGTCAAGGTAGAGGGCGTCTTACGGGCAAATCTAAGACCAAAATCAATAAGAATGAGACTTGGAAAAGGTGCTAATCATATGCGCGAAAACATTTGGCTGATCCCTGTATCCCTGAGATGTGACCCGGTAGCGTTGTAAAAGTGAGTGTAATGTGGGGATGGAGCTCATTTTGCATGAAGTCCGTTTCATTCAAAACTTCTCTTCTCTAAAGTGTAGGAATGATAACATTTTCCGAGTTACGTCAACAAGTGATCTTCTTTCTTCACATTTGTTTAGCCTCATCGTCTTAATCATTCGTCGTTTTCTCGTCGATATTACCATGGTTGTAGTAATGTTTTATGAGAACAATTAAACTGCTCAGACACAAACTGGCAAGAGTAATGATAATTTCTGATGCTGGTTTAATACATTTCCACTATCTCTCCTCATGATGAGAATCGAATTTTGCCTCAATTGGTTACTTCAGATACCCGAAATTAGCTGTCTGATGATGAGTTTTCACGTTTTGACGGAAGATTTGTAGGTACAAATAGCAACCCTATATATATTATAATGATATTAATAATAATAATAAATTGGAGACATGTTTTTTCCATAAGGTGGATAATCAAACACCATATATGTGTGTAAAACACAAGAAGAACTGAACACGTAAACAAGCACAGTACTACTCCACCCTATGTATCTAAAGGGTGTTTTAAAATATTTCCTGAACATAAGCACTAGCGTACAATTAATATATTTAGAAAACGAACACATATATATCTAATTGCTTAAATAGAGAATAAATTACACTAATTAACCATTTTTTTTACAACCACTTATTTTAAAATTCTCAAAATAAAGCACACTACTCAATACACACATATATAGTGACTATAAAAACAAACACTGAATTTCTGTTAAACGTTCTCGCTCAGAAAATTTAAACTTAAACATAAGGAAGGTAAATTTAAACGTGACTGCGGTAGCCTATTATACTTAATCCAAAATCACCTATTAATATTTGTTTCTAAGAAAATGTGTAAACATATGATTAGATAATCAGTGTATTCCAGACTTCACAATAAAGCAGGTAATATTATGTAGCATAATTGTAATGCGTTTTGTATACAATATGCAATAGAAGTAAATAGATAAACGGGTGAAATATTAATACAATTTTTGTCTTTCATATTTGAACCTAAAAATAAAACCGTAATCTAAAAGTGCTTTAAAATGAATTGATGAGTATAAGTAGTAGTGATTAAATATTTCTGGACATTCATTTATCAAATAATATAATACTGTGTTCTTTCCGTATTGCTGTGCCCCGGTAGGTCAGTGGTAAATGTGCGGGCTTACAACACTAAAATCCGGAGTTCAATTCCCGAAAATGGAAAGAGCGTAGATAGCCTAATGCTAATGCCTAATGCTAAACAACAGCAACAGCACTCCATACTATTTGCCCCCCAGTGGCACAGCGGTATGTCTGTGGACTTACAACGCTTGAAACTGGGTTTCGATAATCGTGGTGGGCAGAGCACAGATAGCCCATTTTGTAGTTTTGTGCTTAACTTCAAACAAACAAACAAACAAAAACCATACTATATTCTCTGTTGCTTAAAGAAGTTCAAAGTTTGAACAACGCATGCGCTTATGATGACATATGTGTTAAAGTTTGGGAGGCGTCTCGAGAGTCTCACTACCTTCTTGACGTGCTGATTCACGACTTCATTTTTCAAGCGTATCTGATGCTGACGACCAGGAAGTACCAAGGTCCAGGAAAAACGTATTTAAGATATGTTTTCCATAAATGCATAAGTTTAGATACTTAAAGATGAAATATAACGATAAGAATACTTAGTGCACCCAATTATCGTCCTTAGATACCTGATTGATCCAGGAAGAAAGTGAGCTGTCAGGAAACTCATCGCTAGTTTTGTGTATGGTCGATTTCTGAGTATCAAATTTGTTTGAAGTCCAGTGACAGTATATACAACAATCAATTCTGCCGTTTGTCATTGATCAAGGACTAAAGCTTCAGAGAAGTGAGAACGTTTCTTCACACTGAATTATCTTGTAATTTCTGAAGATCTAATTTTTTTATTTCTATATTTCTTAAATTTTTCATTTACTAACAATAACTGTTAAAACATATAACAAAAATTAAAGATACAAATAAGTATTTCCTTTCCTTGAAAGTTACCGGATACTTTTTTAAAGAGTTTTATATTCAAGACTGGATATATTCTAATGATTCCGGAAAAAAATGAATAGATTGTAAATTTCAATGTTATTTATACAATTCGTTTTTGAACCTGTGCTCATGCTAAACTTTTTTATTCTTACAAAGTGACAAGTTTTTTTAAGTCTGTACAAAAATCTTAACTTTTGATCAGCACTCACCCATTAATGTTCAGTGATGTGTAGACAACCAGGAGTGAACATATTCCATATTAAAATTGTGAAATCAACTGGCCAACCATGAAATTAACAAGGACTGCTTGTTGATTAGGTTGTTCTTAAATCAGCATTAAGAAACTTGAGTTATCTCAGTGAAAACTTTTCTACGACATATATTTGAAGCCACTATTCAATGACTAGTAGATTTGATTTATAAGAAAAAGAAGACACTATTATTATGAGTGAATCCAATTAATAGGATATTACTACGTAGATTACGCATAAACCTAATCAGAAATTTTAAGAAGTGTTTTATAATCATAATAGCTTCGCATTCCATTACTCCTTAAAAGACACAAAATGTGTTATGAAACAAACTTCAATTTGTTATACATTATCTCTTTGACTAATATAAAGATAAGAAAACAAAAACAGTCACAAGGCCTGGATTGTGAATGCTATGCGTGAGAGGATTTGAGATATTTATTGAGTGAGAGTTAATTAAGGTTAAAAATTAATCAAGAGGTTGACAAGATGAACGAAACATCACTGGGAATTAAACAACGAAGGACCACCGACAACAATTTCTATCTTGGAATTGATATCCACGGGTGTGGGTATTACAGTTTTAAGTGCTCTAGGGATAATCGGTAACGTTATATCGCTGCTTGTGTTATCTCGGCCTCAGATGCAATCCTCAATCAACTGCAGTCTTCAAGGCTTAGCTATTTTTGACACAGGAGTTTTGTTATGTGCGTTAATAATGTTAGGCTTAACAACGCTAGGGAAGTTAATACATTGGTTACGTTTCTACACCTGGGTTATTTTCCCATTCATAGTACCAGTGGTTTATCCTTTAGCCTTGATTGCTCAAACTGGATCAGTGTGGATGACAGTTGTTGTTACTATTGAACGATATGTGGCGGTTTGCCATCCATTCAAAGCTAAATCGCTCTTTACATATAAGCGTTCGAGGTTTTACAATATTATTATAACTGTTATTGCAGTGTGTTACAACATACCTCGCTTTTGGGAAGTTCAAAGGATAGAGATATGGGATCCTCTCACAAATTCAACAGTATATCATATTCAACCATCATCTTTCCGAGAAAACAAACTCTACTTTGAAATTTATTACATTTGGATGTATCTCCTAATGATGTATTTCCTTCCATTACTTGCCCTTGCCGTCCTGAACACCTTCATCTGGCATACAGTGAATCAAGCTAACAGAGATCGGCAAAAACTCAGCTTTCGGCAGCGGAAGGAGATCAGCTTGTCTATAATGTTGCTTTGTGTTGTAATTGTATTTCTCTTTTGTAACATCACTGCATTTTTAGTGAACATTCTGGAATACTTCGACGTGTACTGGGAGTCTTTGGCTCATTGTTCCAATCTCTTAGTGACACTTAACTCTTCTGTTAACTTCATAATATATTGCATATTTGGACACAAGTTCAAACAAACACTATTTTCTATATTCTGCAAACAAAAACTACAGCGGATTCAAACTTTCACGTCTGGGACAGATCGTGGTATTTGGATAAGATTTCAATCCAACAGATTTCGTCAGTCCCACCTTCATGTTTCTCATCCAGAAAGAAGAGAAGAAAGTGTACAGTTATAATATAGGCTACGCCTAAAGTAATCCTTTTTTTTAGTGTGTTTATCATAGATATCGCCAGTTGCACCTTCGTAAGGCTCGTCCCGAAATCTGGAGAGAGTGTGTAGAATTATAATAAACACAAGGCCTAAGGTAGTTATAATAAACAGAAGGCCTAAGGTAGTTATATTGTGTTGTTTAGATTTTCATCATGTGTCACCAATCACTCCGATGAGGGCACTAAACCAGCCTTAATGTACTATTTTCATTTCTTAATATGTTTCAATGGGAAATAAAACAGTGTAGTAATGTATATTTGTAGATCAAAGAATTTCGATAACCATTGTATTTATTTATCTAATATCTGAGTGCATTAATAAAAACTCCATTTTGACATCTCTAAAGTTGTGTGTAGGAATGTATAACGATACTGTGACTCTTACGTCAGATTGCATTTGTAATAAGAAAACAACAGGCACATGTTTCAAAATATGTAATGATTCTATGATGTCTAAGAAAAATACAATTCAGTCACGTTTAACTTCTTGTAAAAATCGCCCAATATTTGGTTCCTGTTTTCTAGTATTCCACAAGAAATGTAGAAGTACAGAGTAGAAACATCAATCTAGTCAATACTCTTAATTAATACCCGATAAGATAGCAAAATAAATCCAACTTAAGCTAGAAACAGACAATATCCCCCCTTCTTCTAGCATTCTGGTGGCACAGGCTGTAGACTTATAAAGCTACAAACCGGCTTAAGATATCCGTGGTGGACAGAACACAGATAGCCCTTTGTGTAGCTTTTTTGCTTAACTACAAAAAAAACAGAACCATTCTTGTTTGCTTGACTCGCGTCGGTTTTTATATGGGACAGACTTGTTGAGGATATATATAGGTTTATGTTACTAGTGGATACAAGCCGATAAAAAGCAGAGACACCAAGTACAGAAATAGATTGTTTTAATATTTTTTTAAGTTTTTCATAATTAAATTAAACACCACACTAAGTTCATCAAAGCTAAACCTGAATGAGATTACCGCTGTAAGTATAGTGTAATGTTGCATAGGGACTTACGGCTTGAAATCTATCAGGCAAGTATATTTCTATAGTAAAGGTGATCTGTGTTTTCATTTTATATATATTAATCACCTTAGAGTGTATCTTTTCTAATAGGTCTTTAGTATTGGTTAAGTGTGATGGAACATACTTTAGACATGGTTTAAGCAGTTAATCAAGTAACCAGAATATGGTTTCTGTTGCAGAGTCATACGCTGACATCATAGGTCTTAAAGGTAAATTTTTTTTATGGTCTTTAGGGACTCCATATAGTTCAGGTATACGGCTATGGGAGGGTTTTAATTCTGTTAGTCATACGTAGGAAAATCAAGGAAGCTATTGCCATCCAAGCACAAGATAGTAGACCACAAGTGGGTAGTAATCAAAACAACGGACAACAACTACTCAATATTGCATGGACACCACTAATAAAAGACTTAAAGCACATTATTTGTCGTGGTTTCGATGTAAAATTAAACCTTTAGTTTTACAATGTATTATTTGAAGTTTAAAAATTGCTTTATTTTATTTATTTTTATTTCTCTATATATTACCTACAATTGCGTTTTCCTTATGTTTATTATATCGAAGCAATTGATTTATAATATATATTGATCATAATTCTATATATCTAATAACTATGATACCAGATGTCAGTTATTGTTACAACTATTGCCTAGATACATATTTTAAAGCAGTGTTCCACAGTTTAACGAATTTTTTCGTTCAGTGCATTGTTGCCCGATGAAGGCTCGCAATGAAAGTATTTTATATAGATAAAAGATCGTGTATAATTCTACATGCCAATGTACATGAATACGTATCTTACACTATATTATACTTAAAGACAATTGTGAACCTGTACAATAAATATGAGTATCTATACACATGATAGCCAAATGTTTGTCTATCACGCTCGGTTTCTCCTGAACGGTTAGCTAAACGGCCAGGTCAGAAAACCTCTAAGAATCAGGTATAGCCATCTCTAATTTAAGGCTGCTGATCAGAAGGAGATCAAAAAAAAGTCATATAGATCATTGTAATATTTCCGTTTTTGTGCCCTAAGCAAAGCCACGTTGTATGAGCAACCTATCTATATTGGCCTATTATAGGAGTGTTTCTTTTTATGATGGCAATCTCGTTTACTATGGAAAAATAAACGTGAAGCCCAATCTGTCATTGGACTTACCACCTGTCACTTGTGTTATATCGGCTTCGAAGAATTTCACATCACTTCAGTAATCCTGAACAAGGATAAATCAAAATAATAAGGCTAAGCTTCGTATATTGGTGGAGTGTATAATATATGTATGGTGTTATTAGATGTCTTTACTGGAAATTTCTTTGTAAATATAGGATTACTGTATGAGTAAAAGACATTCCAAAACAAAACACATATATTCTCGTCTAGTTATACCTATATAAGATCATAATTTGCATTTCAAACTTAGTTGCTTCCTGGTGGGATAGCGGTAAGTTAAAGAAATTACATCGCTAAAATCCGGGGTTCGATTGCCCACGGTGATCACAGTAGATAGCTCGAAATGGGTTTGCTCTAAAACAAACAAACAAATCAGAATTAGTCCAACAAACATATTCGTGCTGCCACGTTGTGCTCAATTACAATGGCACAGCGGCATGTCTGCGGACTTACAATGCTAAAAACTAGGTTTCGATACCCGTTGTGGAGAGAACACAGATAGCCCATTATTTAGCTTTGTGCTTAACTTCAAGAAAATATAAGAAACTTGTTTTAACAATAAGGCTACTCGTTTTGAATACTTCATGCATTTAAATATTATCCAACTTTATCAGCAATTTGTATATAAAATAACTGAACAAGTTTATGAACGTTTTTAATGGAAATATCTAACGTGTTTAACTTTGATCTTTTAAATCAGATACACCGTTTTGTTTGGAATTGTTATGAAATAAAAAAAAATTATGGAGAAATAATAGGATGTTTGGTTGGACATAAAACGGTTGATCTTTGTTTTCACACCGTAAAATGGTTGATCTTTGTTTTTCACACCGTAAAATGGTTGGTCTTTGTTTTTCACACCGTAAAAGATTAGTGGAAATTCTACTCTCGTATGATTAAAAAGTCAATTAAATGTAATTGAGGTGATTGTTCAGAATAAATACTGGTTGGCATCGCATAAACGTGTGATTGGTCAGAAAACATTTAGTGGCAGCACAAAAATCTAAAGTTAAAAATGAAATGTTTTTCACTAGCTAAAAAAAGTAATACAAAAATATGTTACAAATAAATATGAACCCAAAACTGGTCTATCGCAATGACAAGTGATAACTCAAATGACAGATTTAGCTTCGAAATTCTTTTTTCAGTATTTCAAACAGTGCTTGCTGAATCTATAATGATCAAGTGTGCCTGATTCAGATTTTCTTAACTAATCTTTATCATTAATATAACGTAATTTACGAATATCAAACTGATGCTTGGGAAAATTTACTGGACTCACTATACCACGTGAACAGGTTAGGAAGCTGTTACCAATAGGATTTTTAACTTATATTACATTAGTATTATACACTGCTAACGGCTAGGTAAGCGATTTTTAAGGATTCTTTTAATGTCTCCAAATTTTAATTTATATTTCTGAAATCAATATTAAAAACTACATATTAATTTGAATTTTGAACGCTGTGCATGAAACAGAAAAGATCCACTGTTCCTAATTTTGAACTACTGACCAGAGGGGGGGGGGGCAGCCAGTCAGCAGTATTTGTCGTTTCAAGGATTTTCTCGGTTTTTTGAACTAGATAATAGGATCGACTCTCACTTTTATAGCGAGCCCACAGATTAAAATACGAAACAATAACATCACGTGAGTCTGGAACCCTATACTCTTTATATATGCAGCTCGTTCAGGCTAACCATAAGATAACGCCCAACCACACACTGATAATAGATAAATAAAATACGACTACTATACTTCAATTTTACTTATAGCTGTTCAAAATTTCGAAGATTATTGATTTTCGAACATTACCTTAATTACTTCAGTCCAACTTTAATTCGGTGAAACAAAATTTATTGAGATGAGTGAATAGTATAACCTTTACAGTAAGAAATAACAAAATAAATAACTTAATATGAAATTTCGTAATTTAACCTTCTGGTTAAACCACATATAACAGCAAAATCACAGCATTCGATGAACGGAAAATTAAACCCTTTGACTACTAAAAATGTTTAAAATTGTCTTTTAAAAATCATGCAGCATTTTCAATATCAGAGAATTTTTTTTATTTTTTCTGTAACGTTGCAAACATCAAAATGGCTTACTGATTGATAAACATTTCAAAAGGTTTGTGTATATTGTATTTATGGCAAAGCTATTAAGGATATCTGCCGTCATCCCTCATTTTTAACTGCTAACTAGAACTACTGTACGAGAAAATCCTTGTTGAAAGATATGTTAATTTATTTTGTAAGTGATTTAGAAACTACTGAATCACTTTATTGCAATGTTAAATATCCATTATGTGACGTCACTTTAGTGTCTACTGACTGACTGACAGACAACATACTACTATATAGTGGTGTGAGTGGTTAAAACAGGTAACACTTCCAGGTGGCCTTTGACCTCCTTTCAGGGACATTATTCTCAAATTACAATATACATTATTTATTTATTATGGCCAGTGTTACACTTACTTACATGAATATTAAATATTGTTGAGTGTATAGTTTGGTTTGTTTGATATGAAAACACTTTGTTTGTGCATGTTTGATAAAAAAAAGGCGATAACCTGCTGGTGCTTAAACTACATGGTAATCAGAATGTTCCTCATTTTTACAAATACTTAAAACATATTTTTAAATAATACATAATATTACATTTTTGAAATCTTTACAGCCGTTTGCTTACTGTTTATTACATAATTTAAGGTTATGTTGTTTTAAGTCTTTGTCGTCAAAATACAGAGTAAAAGATTTGTTTGATTTTAACGTTGATATAGGGTGTAAAGAAAAATAACTGGGTGATGCTATAGTGATTTTAAGATTGTTACATTAAAAAATTTACATACTCGAGACACACAAAAACATATTTATATAGCATTTATTATTAGCCCCCGATCTGTACTGAAACCGTTTTTACTTGTATAATGATTTTTTTATTTCATTATTCACTACTCAACATAATAACTAATACTA